GGAGTAGGTGCTATGCAATTGCCCTTACAATAAACAAATCGATGATTCAAAGAACACACTTTGCAGGTGACTTATAACTTTCAAAGACCTTTCACTATAAATGTATAGAAATTGCATCTAAGTTAGCTATAGAGCAAATAATATTCTTTCCATAAATGCCACCATAAAATTGAAATGCAAAATTATGATTCAAGATAAGCATTCTTTTGGCAAGACAGAAAAAGCAGACAGAGGAATGATGTACTTACAAGGCACAGCATTTACTAAGGTTACTCCTTTAATATTTTTGAGATGCCTAAGTACTTTCAACAACTGTAGCAGGATCATCTTCCTGCTGCTTCCTACTCCTGCTCTTCATTAAACTATATAATTCCACATATGAAATTACATGAAATATAATTTCATATCATATATCTCCCATAACTGAGGCTCCTCTGTTATAAGTACTCCCAAAACTGAGGCTCATCTTGCCTTCCAAACTAACACTCCTGAAACTTTGCTTCCTCCCTTCCTCAAGCGTTTGAAAATTGATAATGCCTAAGACCCTAGTGGTACAACTCATGAACAAGTAGGGCAAACTACAGGGTAAAGTCCAACTTAAAAATTTAGTTTTTCTTGTATTTCCAAAATTTGAGCAAGAAATTTGGTCAGTAATGTAATGTTGAAGTAATATACAGTAAGACAATTAGAACCAGAATCACTTAGATTCAAACTTCACATTTAAATATATTTAATAGTCAATTGCTACCCTAGACACTCAGATGACATTTTCCTTGGTCAAAATCCTTACTGTATGGCTTTCAGCAACTTTTTTTTTTTTTTTTTTTGAGACGGAGTTTTGCTCTTGTTACCCAGGCTGGAGTGCAATGGCGCGATCTCGGCTCACTGCAACCTCCGATTCCCGAGTTCAAGCAATTCTCCTGCCTCAGCCTCCCGAGTAGCTGGGACTACAGGCTTGCGCCACCATGCCCAGCTAATTTTTGTATTTTTAGTAGAGACGGGGTTTCTCCCTGTTGACCAGGATGGTCTCGATCTCTTGACCTCGTGATCCACCCACCTCGGCCTCCCAAAATGCTGGGATTACAGGCATGAGCCACCGCTCCTGGCCGGCTTTGAGCAACTTTTAATGCAATTCCACTGCATTAGGAATCAAATTTCATAGAAAATGAGCCCATCTATTGGCTATTATTTGAGGACAGAGAAAAAGAACCATGTCTCTAACAAATTAAAAAGCATCAGTTCTCAAGGGAAATGAAATCTAGGGCTCAGTTTCTTATGTCTTTTAATGCCTTAACAAACTGTGCCTTTCCCCAAATAGAGTTCAATATTAGAAGTTCAAACACAACTGTACCTAAAAGTGTTCCATGATCTATTACTTTTCCTAAAGCATTGTAGAAACTTTTTCATCTGTACCTGCAGTTACAAGAATATCTTTTTACCAGGAGCAAATGTTACCACTCACAGGTGTTTTCCAGACACTAAAACCCTCTCATTCGCCAATCTTCCATCTACTAATATTTCCTACTGATTGCATGTTACAAGAATAACAAACCATACCAGGTGGACCCCTTACTCACAGGGAAGAGATATACATGTGTAATGAGATGTGCATTTGCTCAGGGCATGCTGCATTTCCAGCCTGCAAGCCATCACCGTTGTCCACAACACCCCCTCATGACCCCTCCTTCTTGTCTCTGGTCATTGTCTTCCCCTGGGTAGTAGCTTCACCAAATCCCAAAAATCTAAAGTCAAATAACCTAGATATGAGCCCAGCTCTGCTACTTACTGACAATGTGATCTTAAAAAAGTTATTTAAATTCTTTGCACCTCAGGTTCCGTATCTATAAAGATAAGGATAATGAAACTAATGTTCTCAGGGGGGCTATTAGGAAGATGAAATGAGATTAAGGTGAAGCACTCTACCAAAAAGTGAGAGGCAGAATGGAGCACACTTTGACCAACTCATAAATAATGGCACAGATCTCAGGCCTGTTAAAGCAGTCCTACTTCGTCGATGATATGAGCAAAAGTAAAAGCTGGGAATAAAGTAAAACAAAGGGAGGAGTTAGAGAAGAGATGCTTAATTAGGTTGTAGAAGGAGGATGTAAGAAGGTGATGGGAAGATACAGTCTTAGAAGTTTACCAAGTACTAACATTCTGCGATCCAAATGCTTTAGTGAAGTGGTTAACATTTGATTTATATTTTATAAAGTATGTTTTCCCCATATTTGTGGCCAAGTTTCACCAAAAGAGTTTTGTTATTAAGTAATACTTTGTTATTAAGTAATACTTTTTGTCCTCTTTTGTCTTGCCACCCATATAAACATCTTTCGTATCAGATTTCATACCAAGGATGTTTCAAGAAACCATTTGGTTCAAACATTTTTGTGACCTCTGTTCTCCAGGCAGCAGACACACAAAGATGAAGGTCAGGTGAATTTAGATGCATCAGTCATTACTTAAAATATATCTCTTAATCTCAACCAACCACAGAAGGCAAAAGAGGAAGAAAGACTAAAAGCTCTACCCAAACACTAACAGTGGTTGCTTCTGAGTGACGGGATTAAAAGTGACATTTTCTGCCACATCATACTTCTGTATGCTCCAAATTTTCTACAATAATCTGGTTTGGTTTAAATATGAACACAAAAGAATATATCCTTGTTATGGGTACAAAAATAGGAAGATAAATAAGACCTAGTATTTGCTAGCACAACAGGGTCACTATAGTAAAAAATAATTTAATTATAAATTTAAAATAACTAAGAGTATAATTGGATTGTCTGAAACACAAAGGATAAGTGCTTAAGGTGACAGCTACTCTATTTACTCTGATGTGATTACGCATTGCATGCCTATGTCGAAATATCTCATGTAACCTGAAAATATATATACCTGCTATGTACCCACAAAAATTAAAAGACAAGAATATATCCTTGAAGCTGGGAACTTTTACTTGCTAATGGATGATACCGAATTTACTGCAATGAGATTCTGCTTACGTACTCATCATTTTTACTTTAAAACAGATTTTTAATACAGAGTTTATACCTCAGATATAATTTAATGCAACATCTGCTTTCTAAAGATGCAAAAGTTGAGGTGGGAGGATTGCTTGAGCCCAGGAGGCAGAAGCGGAGGTTGCAGTGAGCAGAGATCATGCCACTGCACTAAAACCTGGGCAACAGAGCGAGACCCTGTCTCAAAAAAAAAAAAAAATGCAAAAATTAAGAGTCCCAGTTGAAATGATTTGTTTAAGATCACACAAATAGTGACGGCTTCAGGACTAAAGCCAAGGTTCTTGACTTCTAACTCAGAGCTCCTTCCACTATGACATTGTTTGAATTATGATTCTCTAAAGACCACCACCAACTGGGGAGCATCTAAGGTGTATGAGGTGCTACTGGAATACAAGATGGCTAAGAAAGAACTATTCCCTGGACTCATGGGAGGCAGTTTTAAAATAAATGGCGAGGCCAGGCACAGTGACTCACACCTGTAATCCCAGCACTTTGGGAGGTCAAGGCAGGCAGATCACCTGAGGTCGGGAGTTTGAGACCAACGTGGCCAACACGGTGAAACTCTGTCTCTGCTAAAAATACAAAAAATAACTGGGCATAGTGGCTTATGCTTGTAATCCCAGCTACTTGGGAGGCTGAGGCAGAAGAATCGCTTGAACCAGGGAGGCAAAGGTTGCAGTGAGCTGAGATGGAGCCACTGCAGTCACTCTAGCCTGGGCAACAGAGCAAGACTCCGTCTCGAAAAAATAAAAACAAAAAAATAAGAGATAAATTGACATGAGTTCTGCTTTCACTATAAAAAAACTTTACTACCTACAGGTGAATTTAGCTTTCGATTTTCCCCTCCTTTGAAAAAGTCTGAATTTAGTCAGCTAACATTCTAGTACCACTCACAAGCTAAGGATCTTCCATAGTTTGTAAGGGAAGTAGTGGGGGAATGGAAGTTACAAGGTGGTGGCCTATGCTTGTAATCCCAACTACTTGGGAGGCTGAGGCAAGAGAATCGCTTGAACCAGGGAGGCGGAGGTTGCAGTGAGACAAGATCGAAGCATTGCAGTCACTCCAGCCTGGGCGACAGAGCAAGGCTCCGTCTCAAAAAAAAAAAATAAATAAGAGACACATTGACATGAGTTCTGCTTTCACTATAAAACACTTTAGTACCTACAGGTGAAATTTAGCTTTTGATTTTTCCCCACCTTGGAAACTGTCTGCATGTAGTCAGCTAACATTCTAGTACCACTCACAAGCTAAAGATCTTCCGTAATTTGGAAGGGAGGCAGTAGGGGAATGGGCGTTACAATAATAAGTTAGCTAACAACCAACTATCTTTCAAAGCTTAACTGAGAACTTAACTGCAATTATGCATTTCATTGACCTTGTCTAGTGTAATACCAGCCCCTGTCCCTTAGAAAAGAAGAAAATACACTTACGTTTTTATTTCTAGGGGTTCTAAGAACTTAAGATTTGGCTCCGGATAACAGTGGTACATGAAAGCACTGCATATACGCTTATTCACCTCCTTCTCTTTTCATGCCATTCGAGTTTTTCTATTACACAAAATGATAGGGCCAGGTCTGCCAGAGCCCTAAAGACAGCGGCATCGCCCTGCTTCCTTCCAGGGGATCTTACTATTGGAGTCTCTGCCACACGGTGCCTCAGACGTCCAGGAGACAGGAGTTTATCTTCCTACCAACTTCTATTTATTCTTGCCATAAGCACAGCACGACCAAGGCGGGCTCTTCCTCTCAGCTAACAGAACTGTGACTGCCTGAGAGGCTCATTCTGAGAAAGGGACAAGGGAAAGGGGACCAGGGCGATACGTGAGGGTCGCAGCTTGAGGGGTGGAGTGGGCACCAGACTCCCACCAACGACTAAACCGGGGGAAGTAAAGAAATTGACCTTCCCCGCACCCAAAAATAAAACATCACATCACTAAAAAATGGAAGCGTTCGCAAAATTTTCTAAAACAAAATCACTCACCTGCAAAGAGGCACCAGCAGCAGTAGCCGCTCCTCCGCGCCGTAGAGGAGCCAGCGCCTCCTAGGACTCATAGCGGCCGCCGGCATCAACGCTCTTTTCAGCCCTTGAGCCAGACGGGGGCAGGTCCTGGGGCTCTGCCTATTGGAGTGTCGAACTGTCACTCATTCACAGTCCCGCCTACTCCCGGGACGGGAGAGGTCTCTTCCGTTTACCAAATCCCAGGGGTAAGAAGTGGGGTTCTGATTGGTTAGCTGCAGAGACGAGCACGTACCTGAACCAGTAAAACGTTGGCTTTGACGCCAATGGGCGGGCTTGGGCCTAGGGAAGTAGAAAAACAAATCCGGCAGCGTTGCTGGGGCCAGAGTAAAACCGGGGCGAGTCTTAGCGGTTTGAGGTTCTAGAAAGCTTTCACGTCTTAAGAGAAACACCTGCGGGTGAAGAGAGGCGTCAGCGGACTCTTGGAAGAGATGAGGTGATGTTTCTTTTACTCATGGGAAATTTAGGGATTGAAACCTGAGGACGAAGCCGGGCTATCCTCCCGGAAGAAGCTCCCTTCGCATAAATACTCATGGTTGAAAGTCTTAAGTCATAAAACAAATGCCTTTAAAGTGCCCAATTTATAGGCAGTAACGCATCCTTGCTTTCTCTTACCGCTTTTATAGGGACTCCCCTTAGGCAGTTTGCTGACAGTGGGGAATTTTAGGTGGGGAAGAGAAGTGTTGAGTGGAATGCCCTAAAAGCTTATTGCACAGATGATGGGAGGCTGGAGTGGAATGAGAGAGAATGACAAATTTGGAGGCGACAATGACTGAACAAGAGAAATCTATGAAAATACTCGAAACCTGGCACGTAGCCTTATAAGCTTCTAAGCAGGCTTGAACTACCACACAGGGTTTTGAAACATATGTGTTAGAACTTGTGGGTGGGCGGGAGAGATAAGGAATAGTATGTTTGCCGGACCAGGTGGGAGATTCCCTTCTCAACTTAGAAACTGTCCTACGTAATGTTTCGTGTCCTCCTGTTTTTCCTGTTTCATCTTCATAACAAGTCCAGTGGGTTTGCGACAGGCAAGCAAGTCCTCAAAATAATTATACATATATTTGAAAAGATCATCTTTCCACATTTGAAACTCTTTGACACACTCAGTATTGAACTCATTAAGACCCAATTGTAGCCAGTTATGTTTCTAATTATCTATCTTAGAGCATGACAGTTCCCCCTGGGATATCAAAGAACAGAACTTTACTTCTGGGCGGGCACTAATCAAGGCTTGACAGGTCCCAGCAGATGATAGGTCCCATCTAGAGATAGTTAGAATTTAACTTACACAAGATTAACTAGAGTTGAGGCCAGAACAGCTGGAAGAGGCAGCTTCCAAATCGTAGACATTTGCCTTCTTGCTCTTTTCTCAATATCAGGTGAGGACAAAGTAAGGAAAAAAGCTTTCTACTGCAATGTAATAAAGCTCCTAGTCAGTGCACACCATCACCATCCATACTCTGGAGGCTAAAGACAGTCATTCCCAAGTGGCAGTGTCTTGTGGCATTTGGCATTTAAGGATACTTAGCCTGGACTTAAGGGCACCTCTTCATTGGATTTACGTTTACTGTTGTTATGGATATCCCTGGAATGCTAGCTTGTCACATAAAACCTTAACAATATCAAACATCACCTGCCTTTAAGAATCATTCACAAAAGTATTTGGCTTATGAATAAGTCATTTTGATATAAGATGGAAGCAGTTTTGTCAGTGATTCTGTCAAGAAGGAATTAAAAGCAAATTTTCATCACAAGCAAGCATGGTCTTCGTAAGACATATATGCACAGAGACTAACAGAATTTCAGGAGTCACCATTGCTTTTTTGCAAGACTGTTCTCCTTACTTAATTATATTACAGTATCATATCCTGAACCCTGTGTTCTGGTCTGTTCAATGAGCTGTCTCCCTCATGAATTCTTAAATAATGAGGTCGTGATTCACAAAGATGATCATAAACCTACTTAAGGCAAAGGTGAACTCCAAAGAATATTAGACTTATACAGACTTAGTTCTTGACAGGGCTTTGGAAATTAAACTGTAGCTCCTTGTTGTACAGATAAAGAAAGTGAAGCTTAAGTGATGTGCTTAGAATTACTTGGTTGGGCACAGATCTTGGACTAGGACCCAAGGTTGCTAATGGATATAATTCTGGGAAAATGCTTCTTCTTCCTGCTGCCTTCTCCTCCTTACCGGAAAAGCAATGTATTTTTTTAAATTAAGATTAATTTTAATATTCACTTAAATTGAGGACCAATCATGAGGAATTCAATTCTGATATAGTAGGTGATATAGACACTATGAAAATAATTCAGTATCATCAACTTTTGATATAGTCTCCCATCCAAACAAGAAATGAAAAGCAATAAATTATTACAGCTATGTTGTCTATTTGTCTTCCTTTCTGTTAGAAGTATATATCAAAAAGTCATTATTAACCCATATGGTACTTGGACTTTTAGTAGAAAATTGTCTTCCTTGTGACATGAATAAACTATTTTATTGATAGCATACATACCTGGTCAAAATAATTTCACAGTTCTGTGCACAGAGCCTCTAGCCTTTTCCAGGTATGGCTGAATTGGTCCACTGTCCATCTAAACATCATCCACAGACCTCAGCTATTCTGCCTTTTGCTAGCCTAGCAGAACCATTGGCTCCCTCCATCCAGCAAACTCTGGAGTTAGCTAGTTCTATATCCCATGTACAGGAGTGTCTCCCTTTCTTCACAGTATCAGGACACACCATGAGTTTGTTATTTGCTGCCAGTGTTTAGTCTCCAACTGTACCCTACTTACTTAAGGGTCAGGTTAAAATTTGCCACCTGTAACCTGGTATAATAGACCTATGTGTGACCCCCATCATTGACCTACTCTAAGTACAAGACTCCCTTTACTGAAACTAAAAACTGGAAATGCTGTTATGGATCAGCCATGCAGACTTCTCAGAAGGGACCTTAAAGTCTGTCCCTTTCTTTCAAAAGTTAAAACTTAGAATCCTCGTCTTCCTCACAGAATAGTGTGAAGAATTTTGGAGGCAGTTTTGGAATAGCTTTGCAATCTTTGAAGCACCTTACGTCTGCCGCTTTCCAGCACTGGGAACTTAGGCAAATGCTTGGCCTCAGCCTCAGCATCTTTATCTGTGAAATAGAGATAAATGGCCAATGTGAAAATTAAATGGTATAACGTAGTGTGTGCCTGGCACATGGAACGCATTTCTTAAATGGTAGTTGTTATTCTTAACAATTATGGTAATGATAAATGTAAAGCATTTTAACTACTTACAAGAATTCTTATTTAAGGAACTCAGTAAAGTCTTGGCATTGTGATTGCCTCTTTTTCCTGTTCTCCACTCAAGTGGAGACCTGGACTCTTGCAGAGGACATGAGACTGGGATTTCCCCAGCCGTCTTGCAGCTACCCAGAGAGGTAACGGGCAGGAAGTGAATGCCAAAGAGGGCACAGACCCAGTGGCAGAGCCAGGAACCTCTGGTATTGGGAAGCCTAAACTATGTGAAATTCCCCTACAGTAAGTCTCAACATTGAGTGAGCACCTTGGGGTAGGAAAAGAACCAGGCTGATTTTTTTTCCACCTGCTTTCAGATCTGGGACAAGGATAGGGGAAAAAAGATGGGAAACATTAAGAATCTAGAGAGGTGCTTTCCTCTTTTACAAATTCTCTGCTCCACTAAGGAAAAATCCATGTTTCTTTAAATGCTTGTTGTTTCTATGGTGGTAAACACAAATTCTGCCATGTGGAGTTGTTTTATAAATCTTACATTTATTAATTATAAATGTATGTTTTAAAATGTTGTATAAGGTTTAGAAAAGCAAAACCTTAAAATACCTATAATCCTACCCTCCAGAATTTATTTTTAACACTTTGTATATCCTATTTTTCCCATAAATCAAGTACTTAAAAAAAAACTGGAATCTTTGTATATATACTGTTTTGTGGTAATCTTTTTTACTTCGTTTGTTATGAACATGTCCCAATGTCATTTAATATTTTTCTTCAGTGTTTAATTCCACTACACGAATGTGCATTCTGGTGGTATGTCTCACAGTCCAACCAGTCCTCTAGTCTTCAGTATTGAACTTGTTTCAGTTTCTTAAAAAGATTCAGTGATTTAAATGGGCTACTGGCTCCTGTCTTTCTTCAAGGAGACTGATAAAGTGGCCAGGAATTCTTTATATTCTGATATTACAGAGGTAAGAAAGGTGAAGATAGTAGCCTGATAGCTACTGAAGGGTTTCCTCTTACCCTCTGTCTCCACAGGGTTTTCTATTATTTAACCTGAAGAAAAGATGTTTAGCTGAGGAACCAGGATGGGGAAGTGGTATGGAGGGGATGGTGGATGGAAATCGGAGTGTACATTAGTCCATTTTCATGCAGTTGGTAAAGATATACCCAAGACTAGGCAGTTTACAAAGGAAAGAGGTTTAATTGGACTTAGAGTTCCATGTGACTGGGGAAACCTCACAATCATGGCGGGAGGCAAGGAGGAGCAAGTCATGTTTTACATGGATGGCGGCAGGCAAAGAGAATGAGAACCAAGCAAAAGGGATTTCTCCTTATAAAACCATCAGATCTTATGAGATTTTTTCACTACCATGAGAGCAGTGTGGGGGAAACCGCTGCCATAATTCAGTAATCTCCCACCAGGTCCCTCCCACAACAATGAGAATTATGGGAGATATAATTCAAGATGAGATTTGGTTGGGGACACAGCCAAACTATCAGAGCTCCATCAGTAAATCCTCACAAAACTCCTGGCATATGTGTCTCCATTTACAGATAAGGAAAGTAAGACTGGGGGAGAGAATTTGTCTAAGACTGCAGAGCTAGTTACACAACTGGAGTTTGACTCCTAGTCTTGGTTCTAAACTCTTCCCACCATGCACTACTCCTAAAAATTTTTGGTTGTGACTTCATTCTTCTTTTCTTTGGAAAATTTGTTGTCAGTCATCTAAGATCTATTTATCTGCTTCCTAAAAATAAAAATTAAACCCCTCCTTACTGTCTAAGATTTTCTTCTGCCTATGGGCTTCCCCAGTGAGCTAGCTCTTCGCTATAAGAACATATCCTCATTCTTGGATGAAGACTCAGATA